AAAATAATAATAATAATTATATTATTGTCGCAACGCTGATCCGATATCCGCTGTATCCGGAAATGAGGCTTCAAAATCTTTGTATTTAAACGATTTATAAAAATCAAAACCACAAAGGGACTCTAATTCATACCAACTTGAAAGTACAAGAAGACGAAACTGCCCATGGTGACAGCATATTAAAACAACCAAATATAAATATTATTTAGACATTCTTCCATCGGAGAAACTATATTTTACAAGATGGACCAAATTCTAAACAGAAATTGCGACTAACCAAGCAAATTTTGTCTTCTAGCGGTATGTCATATGCAGTCGGTCCATATTTATCATCTGAAATTTAGTGAGTAGTGAGTGGATCTCGCACCTAACTTAGCTGAGACACTTGCCCCGCACTTAACTTCACTCCACGCTGGAAATAGTCGCTGAATCGGTGTCAGTAGCTCTCCTCGTACATTTCTCGTCCCGATATTAATTCTACAACACGTCCAATCGACCACTCTATACGTTTAATGTTAAGTTTTCTATCACCACCATTTCTCCAAGTTTTACTGATGAATGCAACTTGCAACTGATTTAGATACTCGAAAAACTATCCCCATCAAGCATCACTTGGAGGGCTGAAGCGATATTTAAATTGCTTAAATATACCAATTGTTTTGTTTGGTTAGTGGGCGTTGAGTATATTGTGATTTTATTACTTATTACAAAGTAGAGAGTAGTAGTTGTATCCTTCGTGAAAACGGCAAGTTAGTAATAAAAAGCTAGTTCAATAGGGACAAACTTTTCCACAGATCCAATGCGACTGAAGTAAGTAAATATATGGCAACTTTATCCACGTCAAGCCCCATTAAAGTTATAATAAATGTAACGCTACTGCTTGTCACTATGAGAACAACAAAAAACAAAATAATATTTTTGAGACATCAGGAATGGGGTGTTATTTGATAAATTTCAAAAAATCAAAAATCAGTCAGGTTAGATGTACACCAGAAATGAAACAGTTAAATAAGTAAACACAACAATTTTTGAAAAAGAAAGGTACCATTGGGCATTCTAAATATGGACCGTCAAGTACCATCGACAACTAGAATGACCAGAAAATAAGCAACATGATGTACAACTGATAACCATATCTACCTAAAAGAAACTGCACTACCTACATTATCAAGCGTTTACCACCCCTCCTATATCTTAAAAGAGTAATGTGATCCCCACATCTGGATGCTTTTCTAAAGTTGTCAGCCTCCCTGGCAGCTACATTTTGGAAAAGGCATGTTATCCATTGTTTCCTTACATTTTCATCTTTTTGTAAACTAAAAGATACAATGTAAATTGGATGCCACTGCCTGGATAAGTGATTATTACATCAAAGATAGGCAACGGACATATATACAAGTCTATAAAAAAAATTAGACTTGCAATATAACCCAAAAAGTTGTACTAAATAGTTATTTAATCATATTTACAAGTCAAGGACATACTTTACTTCCGAACCATCAAGGGTTGGGAAAATAGTCAGAGACTAATCAAGATCTCTTCTTCCCAAGTTCTGCATCTCATATTTTTTCCACTCAAGTTCTCCTGACTCCAACAAGCAAATGTACAAAATCAGTAGATTTTGATAGGACCTGTTTTTATTTAATCAGTGTCAAATTGGGTGTGTTTGTCCTGCAGTATTCACTTGCCTAACCTGACCTATCGATGAAATATCCCAATAGCTAATGTGCCTAGAATTCCTGGTAATTCTCAAAAATTTCGTGCTGATATATCCTTCAAATTCTTCCTGCTGTAGTTGTACTGATTTTGGTAATTCAGCACTTTATGCGGTAATAATTTCGGTACTTTTTTACCAATAGAAGCAAGAAAACTTTCCCATATTGATTTTTACAAGGATTTGTAGTTGACAAGGGGTATTTCTTAAGCTTGTTTTGATAAAAATTCAACTTGCACCTTAATTCTTTTCTTATATTTCCTGTAATTCTTGTACACTAAAACATACTACCCAAACATCCTTCGTAGCTATTTAAGTGTACCGAAAAATGTAGGGAATTTAAATCTTTTAAATTAACTTGTACATGTATAGGCACATTCTTTTCCTTACAGTTTTAACCATAAACACAAGTTTTCCAATGGGTGGGCGTTTTGATCACAAAAACACGAAAAATATAGGAGATACTGACACCAAAAATGAAAACAACGATGGCACCTGGGCACAGACTGTTCTGTGACAATTCTAATTACTTGGCTCGGCCTTCCCAATTATGTTCGTATTTCGGAGATTGATGTTGCGTTGCGTTATAAAATTTAATCAATTTTCCAGACAAATTACGGCAATATAGCAACTCACTCAGTTAGAGGGTGACGCATGTGCAAAAGATCCATACCTTCTCTACGAAAATATCATAGCCACCTGCCGCGCATTAATTTATATGGAACAACGCCATCTAAGAATCAGAGTTCACTCCGTTTCCGTCACGAACGATCGACGAATGCGTCGCGGCTAGTCCAGTCCTGCACGCGTCTGTTTTTAAGGGATCTCCTAATTTTAAAATTAGTCAGAACGAAGAGTGTAGGATCCCATTGAAGCGTCGACTTCACGGTATTATTCTTACGGCAGCGGCTCCGCATGTACGTTATTCATTTGTCATTTCGAAGTAAACATACCCGCGTGACGATTTGTTTGTCGTAGCGAGTGCGCGCGCGCTCTCCTTGTTCTTTAGTGTTCGATCCCGCCGGAACTCAGTTCCCTCTTTTGAGTTTTTTACTGCTTTAAATACGGTTTTTCGTGTTTTTTTTTTCATTTAAAAAATATACAGGGTGTGCATTAATGGTGTGTCAATACTGAAGGGGAGGAGTACGCTGAAACCATTTTACCCCTTTGCAGTTTTTGTTCTCGAAGGTAATTTTGACTGACACCTTTTTATGTCCAAGAAAGACGGTTTTATCTAAAATTTACAAGGTGTTCATAAGTGGCGTGTCAATACTGAAGGGGCGCAACAATTTCCACCAGCGGCGTCCGTGCTCTTTATCGCATAGTTGGATACTCTCTTCATTTCACCGTTCTTGACTAAAATAGTTAAATTAAAAGTGTTATATTTCGCTACGCTGACCAATAATTTTTAAAGATGCAGATATAGTTAGTCTTTCACTTTTGTCGATTTAAAATGATTGTTAATCTTTAGAACTATCTAAACTTAATTTTTTTTTATGTTTCTGTCGACTTGGTGAAACTAGGTTTATTAGCACGAACTATTTCCTAAGCGTGCCTTGCCAGAGCCTAGTAGGGGAAGAATTACTAGAGCTCTCAATATTTGTCATCAAATTCTTTGTCGGTATCTGACCGATTGACTTTTATATGAGGGTCATTTGAAAAGTTTCCGACCTAACAATAATAGAAAAGATTTTTTAAATTTTTTGTAACTCACTTAACTTACATTTTTCTCAGCGACGCTCCCACCTTTTCAATCCGTCCAAATATTACCCAGCGTTTTTTCCTGCGGATTTCCTCATTTGATGAAAATCGTTGTCCTCCGAGCGCAGTTTTCAGATGAGGGAACAAAAAAAAGTCGCTTGAGAATTGATTGATGGCAACCGCTGAGATATGGTGAAACATTTTTTTTTTGCAAATGTGACATTTTTTACGCAATTTCTGTCCTCAGCTTGTCAAATAATGGTGCATAGTATGCACCTGTAACGGTTTTTCCTTTTTGGAGGTAATCGATTAAAGTGACTCCCTGACTATCCCAGAAAACAGTTGCCATCACTTTCCAAGCCAAAAAAACAGTTTTTATTTTCGGTTCTCCCTTCGTAGTCCACTGTATTTTTGATTCGGGCGTATAATGGTGATAATGGTGTATTGAAGTTTCATCTACAGTAATTAATCCGCAACAAAATTCTGAGTGAGTAAACGGGGTACCCAACTTTCATCGGACATTTTCATAACCTCTGCTATCTTTTTCACTTTAATTCGACAGCCGCTTAACACAATTTGATGAAGCTCTCACGGCCACTTTAAATTCAGCTACCCAAAATTTCACTGTGGTAATTGATGGTGCAAAGTCTCCATACTCAACTTTAATTTTCGTAGGCGAAAGAAATATTTTATAACAACTGTATTTTTTTTCCGTTTTTGCGAAAACACTCACATCGAGTCACTCAAACGACTTTGATAAATAACTATCAAGTGGTGCACAACTACGATCACTAACTAGCTTTTAGTAACTAGTGCAGTCATCTTCAGGGTGAGGTCGGAAACTTTTCAAGTGACCCTCATTTCGTTATCATATTTTAAGTATCGTGTGAACTTCTGTCAGTGGTACCTTCAAAATGAAAACCAATGTTATTTTATAATTGTGTGGAGGACGAATAAAACTCCCATGCCAGAATTGAAACTTTAAATATTTAATCTATGGACAAGAATTATTGAAGGACTTTGTAATCTGCCGTGTATATTCCATGACATAATACATCGCTTATTTTTCCTGTGACCTCTTTGTTCCTTTGGGTACCCCGCTGTCTATGTGATCATACTAGTGTTTTTCGTCCGTTCCCTTTCCCTTTCTTTTAGTTTCCGTTAAAGCATTTAGGTCGATGTCATATTTCTCTTTCCATCAATATTTCATCCGTTTTGGTGGACTTAGGGGATTTTTGATACAGTTGCTAATATGCCCGGAGAATCTAAGATCAAACACAAAAGCGTTTGCTGTTAGCAAATAGCTAACATTGCAGTGTGGGTAGACGGGTTCATAAATTCGTCTTGTAATTGAGCAATTTAAAATTACTTCCCAAGGCACCTCTGAAAAGCGACCTATTCTGAGTTAATTTAATTAGCTAGCTTTTTAGCTTTTTGATCAGTACATCTGTATTTTAAATCTTGGCGACAAATAATTAAAACTCGTTTCTGGACACTACAAAAGTAGGAACAGTCATTTCGACAATTCCTTTATGAAGCCAAACAAATAAAATTATTGTTATTATTAACATTTTCGTTGTTACAGGACCCTTTTAATGAAAGAGAGAGCTCTGGAAAAACGACGGAAGGCGGCCGAGGAGCTCCTGAAATGGCACAAGAAACTGCTGGAAGAAGAAAAAGCCATAGTGGAGCTGGAGGCGACCGCCAGCAGGATAATTTCCCAAATACCTAGCGCCGGTAAAGTGAAGATCGGAAAATTTAATACGCTTAAAAGAAACGTCTCCGAACCGGATGTAACCAGTCTAGAAAAAGAAACCACTGTCCGATCCATGTCGCGATGTTCTGAGAAACTCGGTTCGAGCGTGACCGATTTTTCGTTATATGCGAGAGAGTTGGTTGAGGAGGAGGAACGATACATTCCAAAAAAACAGAGCGAGGAATCCGCCATTAGTTCCAATTATACCGCCGACTTCGAAGCGGAATCAGTACCTGAAGATTTAAACGTAGATACAGTAGAACAGAGTAAGATATCGTCAATAAGCGACCTCATAGAAAACTTTAGTAAAATACAAGAGGATATTTCGAACCTGAGCCACGTTCAGTCCAAAATACTGTCCGAAAATGAAGAAGCAAAAGCGCCGGAAGCCGGTGACGAAAAACCCAGCAGTGTCATCTCTAGCGCGGTGAGCGTCGAGAGCGTCGTTCAGCTGACCACAGAAGAAGAGTCGGAGCAAGCGCAAAGTAATGCGAATGTTAGCACCGAGGAAGGTAATATTGTTCTGAATGAGCCAACTGAAGATACCAATACTGCAATTCAAACATCTGCAAGTGTTGAAGAACCCGTTGAATCTCAAGAATTTGACACAGAGGTAGAGATGGGCGGGGCAAATCAAACTTTTGTAGTAACAAGAGGTACCGAAGGAGAGGAGGATAAAAGCGAACAACCCGTTTCTATGGACGAAACATTCGAACGACCATCTTCAACGTCAAAAAATGAATCAGAACACCAAAACTCGGCTGATTCTAATCATTCAAGTTCGATATCTAGTCAAATATCTAAAGATGTCAAGGAAGATGCTAATGCGGAAGAACAATCTCGAATAACAGAAAGCCAAGCGAACGTCAGCGAGGGCACCAGACTCGAATCCGTTGAAGAAAACCTATCTTTGACTTCGCCTGCGTCGCTAAGCGTGCGCGAGGTTACCGAACAAGATGTCGCTTCGACTTCATCCGACAAAATTTCAACCGAAAACAAGACGGACGAGGAGAAAGCGGCGTCTATTTCAAAACAGACAGCAGGCGCGTCTTCCTTGCAGGATGATGTACAAATGTCGGAGCAAAAGGACACGGAGTCGAGGACGGTTGTCGACGTGAAGCAGAGAGTTTCCGAAATAATGTCGGAGGTTTCGCGGTGCGAGAAAAGTCCACGCATGCAAGATCTGTGCGTCATGACATATGATCTGACTTCGCCACCGAATTCGCCTGAATTGGGTAAATATCGTGTTAAACATGAAAATGAAGATCCAAGGGAATTAAATCCCATGCAATGTGGTCACTCCATAACTTTACCAATCGCTAACTTCAATGTTTCTCTATTATTTTCCACAAGCAAGAAAGAGACGCTAGTAGTAATTGTCCTAGTGATGGATACTACTGTTTTAACGATTCTGCCAAAAATCTTTCATAAAAGTTCTTATATTATATTGGGATAAAATCCAACCATTACTTTTGATTAAATGGTGGAAATACGCAAAAAATAATCACAACTCGTATTTTACCATGTAAAGGTAAAGGTAAGGTATTCTTTTAACCAAAATAAGATATACTCTGTGTCTCAGTAAATGCAACAGGCAACGAGGTATGGTATTGGGGAACCGAATGTTCTTTAAAATTTGGAAAAAAAAGATTTAGTAAGTGGCCACCTCGGAATTTAAAATCCATGAACACTGTTTTAAAGCTGAAACAAATTGAAATCTTTTTTGTTAGGTTTTTTTTTTCTCTAACTCTAAAGGAAAGTGGGGGGTGCTAAAATATTTCGAGAAATAAATAAATAAAATTTGAATAAAATTGGAGTTGATAAAAAGGGCCTTTCCTAGGCTGCGATTGACTACCCTGCTACCAGTTGGCATTTTCTGACAACGGCCGACAAAATAATTCTCTAAAAAAAAATAAATGCTACGATATCATTTTTTTAGGTCAATATATGGCCAAACAGGAGGCCAACAACGCAGTGAAAATCGCATCTTAATATCTTCATTCTAATCTAACGCTACGTTTATAAATTAATATCCTTATCCAAACTTTATGGAACCTAAACATTGATAACGATAAAACACAACAAAATTGAATGAAATTACAATCAAATCAAATCAAATGTTCAAAGTGCCGTCATTTTCTATGCAGGAATTTATCGTGCGTCATGTATTTAATAAGGACTTTTTTTTCGTTCCTAAGGCGTAGATTTCTTCGAGGCATTGGATTAGGAAAAGGCCATCTGGTGGAAGGGTACTCAATTGCAATCATCTCACTCGTAGCTTTGATGGCCTAGAACTTTTAGAGATAGATAAAAAAGCATCTTACAAAAAAGATTTGAATTTGTCTCAGCTTTAAAACAGTCTTCACTGTAAGTATCATAAATATAAGAAAATTTTGCAGAAAACAGCATTTTCTCTTGGCCGAGTTACTTTTTTTTTTCAATTTTTTTGGAAATCTATTTCCTCAATACCGTACCTTGTTGCTCTTATTGGGACTTTGTTACAACTCTGATGGCGACCTCTCGCATCCTATTTTTCACACCTCATTACCCACCGAATCTTGTTCTTTTATTCCTCTCCTTATTATCCATTGCCCTTTATGTCTTCCTTCCTCTTTTTCTCCTATATGGTGGTGGTCAATTTCAAATCTTTCTCTCCATCTTTTCTGATGTTGTTTGTACATCCCTGATATTCCACACCGACATGTACAGGGTGGCCGGTTTAAAAGGAGCCTACAGCTTATCACGAAATCTATAAGTTTTATAAAAGAAATAAAGTTACGAAATTAATTAAATTTCTTAGCTTTGTGACTTAATTCTAAAGCGCGTTTCTAAGATTCTTTCATGAAATTGCTAGTTATTTGAAATACCGTTAAACATTATAAAACGTTTGAAAGAATTGCCGTTCGTAGTTGTCATAGCAATATTAATAATTTTTAAGTTTTTCTTTACAAGTATTTTTTCTCAATTCAAAGTGTATAGAAAAGAAGAAAAGGTTGACATGTTAGCATGTTAGTATATTAACATATTGCAAATATTAAAAGTCCAGCCCTTGCTCTTGGAGAGTATAAAGTCAATTTTCCTGATAGGCCTCAGAAATGATAAAACTCGTCAATCTATTCAAAACGGTGCATCGCAGAGCAATGTTCATATATATCGTTGGATTCGTATTTTAAAGGGTCATCCGAAAATGCTAAAATATACGGGGTGTTTGATTTTAAAAAAATGAGAGAAGTAATATTTTGCGAACCAACGCAACACCGCGTTTTTGATGAAAATATTTCAATTTTTCAATTTTCAATATTTCGTTTTAATAGTTAATATGCAACGCTACAAAAATCTTTCCAACATTACCTGAATCCTTGAATAAGAGACATTATATATTTATGTAATTGAGTGACAAGATCATTTTGCTCGAAACAACTTTTGTATTCAAACTTTTTAACACTCACAGATTTCGCGATAAGGTATAGGCCATCCTGTACATGATTTGAGGTAGTTTTGAGCTTCAACCTTTCTTCGATATTGTTACAACTAAATTGGTATAATCACGACTACTTGTCGATGACATAAATTATACTCGGGAGAATCCACTGATTTGTTTTGGTTATTTTAAACCGGCCTCACTCTATGCCACGGATATTTTCCGCATCGTATAGTCGATGCCATATAAGTCACTCGCGATGACTTTGTCAGCAAATAGGTTATGCTCTCTTCTTTCACATGCGTTTCGCAGAAAATTTCGACATAAATATTAATAAAAACAAGTTCAGTTGAGTTTAAAAATTAACAAGTAGTGAGGAAAAATACCTATTTGAAAAATTTGAGAAAAATTGGATTTATCTTGGATTTACCTATAAATGTTTTGTTGATATAAAATGCAAAAAATGTTTTGTTCAATTGGCTAATGTAATTTTTTTTCTTCCCAGATACAGCGTCGGAAATAGACAAAAGGGTTTACCTCGGAAGTGTTGCAGAGGAGCTGTTAAAGAAGCAATTGGCTATTGAACAAGAGGTATCCTTTTTGTTATTTCTAAATATTAATATCATTAAACAAAAATAGTGTACAGTAGGTACCGTATGACCCACTAAGCGCTGGGGTGTATCTCGAGAAGTATTAATCGTATGTCCACACATCTAACCTTCTCGCAGCACTTTGTTTTAGATAGATCCGATGCCATTATCTTTAACACCTCTTTGCCAGGTAAAATTCTGTAAAAATCAAATTTTCATATTCATAAAAGTTGCTACCTCTAGCGGCGGTTTTAGGAACTTTATATATATACTGTATACTGTGAAAATGCGAAAAGTTCGAATTCGATGGGTAATTTAATAGTACCTCTGGTTGCTATTAGATTAGATAACTTTTTTAGCTACCCTGATGAGAAGTATTTTTATAAATAAGATATAAAATATAGTCCATTGTAAATTTCGTTGACATTTGAATCAAATAAAATTATTTAAACAATCTGGGATAGGTGTAGTTCTCCAAACGATATTACGTTTTACATCCTTTTATGGTTTTGACTGAGTTTAAGACCCTCCTAATCGCAGAAGGGACCATTCTTTTCAGCACGTGTACCACAAGCCAGGGCCGTATTTAAGATGTTAGTCGACAAGAACTGTGCCCCGCGGACTGTTGTATTTTAAGAGTAGGATTTAAAACTAAGAATGTATTTTTCACTGCATGGACTAATAATAAACGAGGAATGTGACCGATGTAACCCAAGTGAAGTAGGTCTGCGGTTAGACTTTCATAAAAATTTACCAAAGTTGAATACCGGATTATGCCGTAAAAACGGTATATGGTTTGGAGAACTCTACCTTTACGTACAGTTCACTCGTCCGGTACGTCAAATTAACAATATGTTGTCAAAACTGATCTTAAATTGGATTGCTCAGTTTTTTAAGTGGTATTTGAATTGGAATTGTTCGCTGTTTTTTGGTTTTTCTTCAAAGCAATGTTGCATTGTTCTGCTGAGAAGGTTCCGCTCGTTTAATGTTTTTACCCTTTGAGCTGGTATTTTACTGATTTGAAATGCTGATCCACAATAAAGTTGCTATCAGCATGTATCTGTAAAATCCAAAAAAGCAATAACAACAATAATTTAGGTTTACAATCATTAAAAAAAATTATTTAAAAAAACCGTTCCTACTTCTACCAAATAAAATATTTAAGTTGAAAAATTTTGTAAATACATTAAATTTTTTAACATTGCATACCAATAATTCACTTGAATACGTCATTTATAAAAGAAGCAATTTTCTTATACGAAAAAACATAATATAGTTTTCTTTACTTACTGCAAAAAAAAATTGAAAATATGGTTTATACTTGCAATTTTCAAACAAGTTGTACAAAACAAATTGGCGCCATTCTAAGATAACACCTTTTCGGCATTTTAACAAACACTGGATAGAGAGCATAGACAGACAGAGTCACAATTTACTTTACAAAACAAGGCACACAAGAACTCTTCAAGTAGACGATATTAAGGATATTAAAAATTGCCACCCCTTTGAACTATCGGGTTCTGTTTGCAATATTAATTCATTAACTTAACAAAGAATCGTTTGCTTTTACTGGGAATACCCTATAGTGTGCGTTTATCCTGGGCAATTCTATGATTCTATTCATATATAAGAAAGTCCAGATTCTCTATCTGGCCATAAAAAGCAATAAATTCTCTATTGTTGGAAAAAATGCAAATTTAAAAACCAAATACAAAACAGTGAAAAAAAATGCATTTTGCATTTTCTATGCTCCTTCCTCATGATCGTAGAATCTAAAAATGCTGTAAAATTAAAATTATTATGAAAATAATTTTAAAAAGGAGTAGTATAATTTTTTGTAAAACTTTTTTTTTGGCCACAATATTCAGTGTCATATACCATGAATCCCCTATACAGGGTGTGTTATAAGTAACGGTACATGGCAAAATAGGAGATTTTTTAGGTAAAAATATTACGATTAAACTTACTTTATTCCAAAAGTTGATATTAACGGAAATATAGGGTGTCAAAGTTGCAATTTCATTTTTGATTTTTTAAAATAAAATAATCGAGATTTTTGCACAAAATTTGGCAAATTGGCGTTTTTTTGGCTTGAGAAATTCATTTTCGTTAATTATTTTGGTACCTATGGTATCTTCCGTGCATTTGATACCTCCTAAATTTTGAGCGCCTTAGTGTATGCAGATTTTTAATAAAGATATCACTTCTTACTCCTTTCTACACAAAAAAAGGCATACCTTTCAAATTTCGCCGTTTTGGAGAAATTCGTAATTGAAACTTTAATTGTCAAAGTAGGCTTTGACTATCCTAAACACAATAAAAATTCAGTAAAATGGTGCGAAGTAAGCTCTGACGAAAACAGACACAACAAAATACCTGCAAAATTTTTCAAAGTACTCTTTGTGATAAAGACTGGTTCTGGTGAATTTCTTGGCTGTTTGTCAGTATCTTGGGCGGTAGTTTTGGTTAGTTTTCCGATAATGCCAAGACAGTTATTTTTAAATGTTTCCAAACCGAAGGCGCCCAGATTTTAATTTTTTTGGAATATTTATAATAGACTCGGCAAAACTGATTACACCGGAGCCGAAAATCCGTCAACACGCACAAGACGAATGACAGTGGGAACAGCAGTGAGCATATCTGCACTTTGTATAGTTTTTCACCACGAATAGCTTTATCCATATCACTTTACTCCAGTACAATAGTATATTATGCAACAAGTGCGGTAAGCGGCATCTGACTCGCGAGTTTGACACGAACGAGCGGAGCGAGTATTTAATAAACGAGGGACTTAAAAACTTTACCGCAAAACAACATGAATGCATTTAGTGACATGACCGTCAGAATAGACAAACGTCACAAGTCAAGGCGTGTGAAATATCTCCGAAAACATCCGATTGCTCTCAAACCCGTGCCGTAAAATCTTGAAAATGTCCGAAGTGGCTCAGATCCGTGGGAAACGAAACTGAAGTGGTAAAGTGACGCTTCCCATACCCTAGATCGGTGTGTAATTAGGCATTTTACAGACGGGAGTAGAAAATAGCAATTTTTTGAAATAATAAAATAACCTACATAAAATAGGAATACTCACATACAAAAACGTCAACTCAAAAACACACTCATTCCAAATTGGAATGAGAGTACTTTCCAAGTACTCTTCACATTTCTGTAACTGTCTGATTTCCAGATCTGAGTCTTCGTCTTTCGTTATTCGCATAATACCGTTTTCGTCGTGTTCCATCTTCATAGCCCATTTTTCATATTCGTCATGCAATTTTATCACCGTATAGTCAGCGTCTTCGTCGCATCTTGCAACGATCTGCTAAAACAGGGTTGCCAGATCTGGTCATTGTTTCGAAAGTTTCAAAGGGCTTCCTGAATAATGTTAACTAGGGTGCCATAAACCGGACTTTTAAGACGGTCCCATAAGAAAAAATCCAAACTATTTAAATCTGAGGACCTATGGGACCATGACTGAGGTTCGCTGCGACCGTGATTTTAATATTCCTTTACTGCAACACTAAAGTGAGCAGGCGCGCCGTCATGCATGAACTACATTCTGTTCCTAATTAATATGGTACTTCTTTTAGCAAATCCTCTTCTGAAAACCGACGATAATTACGGCCATTTAGACTTTCTGGGCGGAAAAAGGGCCCAATTAAGTAATTTCCAACAATTCCAGCCCAAACATTTACCAAAAACTTAATGTTTAAATTCTACAACTGCATAGGGGTTGGTTTTTATTGAGCGAAATATGGTTATTGTGGAAATTTCTAGTACTAAATTCAGGATTTTGATTAATAGAATTTAAAACTGTTTCTTCAAAACATTTTGGTACACTAAATAATGGCTCTTGATAGATAGTACATGTGCCAAATTTCATTAAAATATCTAAAATGGTATTACAGATATTAAAAAATATATTTTATTTTTTAAAATTTTACCACCCTGTATCTCATAAATTAAGACATTCAGAACATATAATCATAATTTTTCTTTTTAAAATGGACCCAAAAATCGCTCCCTTTATTGGCATTCAAACACCCTGTATATTTTGAATAATGTAGGCGAGAGACAGCATCCTTGTTTTAGACCTTTCGTTGCCTTAAATGTATTTGAGAATGTATTTCCTATCTTCACCGTGTATTGTGGATTTTTGTAGATGTTATATAGCGCTTTTATATATTACTTGCTAATATTAGATACATTGAGCGTGTCAAGTAGAAGCTTCAAGGTTTCAATAAAAACCAGATACGCTGGCAGTTTTCGAGTTGTGAGGGGTGAAGCTATTGTCCGTATAAGACTTTTCAACTCAACTCCTCAGTATCAGTATATTCCACTTCTATTCCTTTTAAAATACGACAATACAACTTTCCCGAAGAGCTAGTTAACGTAACGTAATTTTCTCTCACCCTTTTTATATACGCAACTAATATGTGCTAAGTTCCAATCGAATGGAATATTGTGACATCGAAGGAGGCAGTTATTATTGCTTTCAATAGGGTCTCTGGTTCAAGTTTCACCCGCTCCCAGCCCTGAAGCTCTTTATTTCTTTCTCTGTTCTACCCTACTTTCTCTCAATAGTGGTTTGTACTCTTCTTCCCATTCATCTTTTCAATTCAATTCTTATATACTGCTTTTCTTTTTTGAGACTTTTTTTTTCGTGTTTAGAAATGTATGGGTAAGCTCTTTTCTTCTGCTCAACTTTTTCCTTTAGTTCTTCCGAACACCACTCCAGCTGTTTTTCGTCTCTTTGAGTCCCAAAGCTTTTTTGCCCGCCTGGTGAATACATTTTTTGATTTGCTTCGGCAGTTTATTTTTCCTTCATTTCTGCAAGTTTTGTCGTTAGCCTTAGTTTGTATAAGAATCTTAAGCAATTCTTGTTTTAGGCTCTCTAAATTATATTTTTTATTTTCGTTTTTGGAGTGATCTTCGTAGTTCTCCAACGTTTGCATTTTCCTATAATTTATTGTTATTGTTGCCCCCAGCAGATAATCGTCCGATCAACATTCGGCTCCACGATATACCTTCATGTCTTTTGTTTATAATCTTGTATCCGGCGGTTTAATGAAGTAGTCTATTATTGATCGTAATTTTTTCTTTGCCCAGGCTGTGACATAGTTTCGTAAGACGTTCACCGTCATATTAATTCGTTCTGCGCCATACCACAGTCAGATTTATTTGTTGCGCTTTATTTTCCAGCACTTTTTAAGTAAGTTTTTGAGGAATTATTTAAAAAAATCAAAAATGAAAATGCAACTTTGACACCCTGTATATCGACTAACTTTTGGACTATGGTAAGTTTCGTTAAATCGTAATCTTTTCACCTACAGAATCTCCTATCCTGCCATGTACCGTGTATGTACATGTATCTAGTAGCTATGTGGGGGTTAGCTGGACTACAAATAACCTTGTACGTCCAAATCTTGCGAATTTAATTTTGGCCCACAGCAAAACTCCCACTTTCGACTGGAGATACGTCCTGAGAAATTCTATATTTCAGTTGGTACGTTTCATTTGCAGATTAAATTGCTAACCGAACAGCAAGTAATCTACAGGGAAATACCGAATAAACCGCCGCCTCCGTATACACCCCCGGCGACCGTAAAACCCGTTCCCGCGCCCACCGTCATTCCCAGAAACAAAGAGGAAATCGAGGAGATCACCAAATATTCGGCCAAGATCATCTACAAAGCCTACATGAGCAAAAATTTAGAAAACATTACGATTTCCGATAACACGCTCAACCTTATAGCGAAGAACATCGACAAGAACGCTTATAAATTTGTATTCGACTTATGTAAGGAGGTGGCCATCGAGCACTTCGGGCAGTTCGAAGAGGAAACCTGTCCGTCGTGGTTTCGTCGCCCGAAGAAGGTGACTTTGGCGCCCGCGAAGCCATTGGACGCAACCGGTCTCGAGAAGCTGATGCACAAGAAACTTTTAGAGATATTCGGCTACGAGAAGCGCAACATTCGAGAGAGCACGATCATCAAATGGAGCAGGAAGAAACGGGACCACGTGGACGAGCTGCTGGTTCAGGAGATGCAGGCCGAAGAGTCATCGTGGACTAATTTCGACGACGATGAGCTGATAGTGAAGGACAGGGTGACTAACGAAATTTTGGAGCAGTTGCTGCAAGACACTGCCCAGTGTTTGTTACGCGTCTGGCAAAAGAAATGCCAAAAATGAATCTCGCCGACGCAGCGGTAAGCAGGTTTTCGGTCTGTGATACAACGTAAGATATTGATGAGATTAGGATTTAATCCGTCAAGACTGGATTTTTTTTTCAAGTAGCAAGTTATATTGAAAATTTAAGGTAGGTTAAATGATGCAGCTTTATTCACGCGCAGCTCTTTTTCTCAGTTAAGTATTCTTTTTTGTTTTTTATTGTTTTAAACTAAATGTTATTGCTCGTAGTAAAATGCGGACAGGTCAATTTTGTATTATACGATTTTATTTTTTTAAAGTGCCCCACCCACCGGTAATTTTGTAACGTTTGCGTCGATTTAATCATAATTTAACGGTTGAATTAATTCTTTTTTATTATACTGTCAGTTTGTTAAATACAATTTTTTATAATACTCGCGTTTTTCATTTCCGTCTATATCTGTTTGCTATCTCTATTTTTATTGAAGCCAGGAAGATCACATAAGAGTTCACAAAACATGCGTATGCATTTGTGCTGCAACTATAGTCCGTACGATTTGCGATGGTATAGTCAGTCGGTCACAAAACCAAGAGAGAAGGTGCCTCAGTAATTTACCTGCTTCCATTCGTACACTCGACGGAGATAATACCCATTATCGGATAATTACAGTACTACACTACACTACAAAACGGGGTCGCATTATTGAAAAACTGCTACCGAAACTAGAAAGGTCGTCTTTAATTATTATGGATAATGAACGATACCATTCTAGACAGAGAAAGTGGACTAACCAAATGCATCGACAAGAAAACAAGAAATTATCAACAATAAATGTGAGCTGTTAAAAATTGTCAACAATTAGAAAACAAACTTGCTGGATGCTACAGACAAAATAATTAGTGAAATTACCACTATTTATATTTAATACCATAGAATTGGTGTGGGCTCAGTACATATACTCTCTATACTCTTTTTATAAAACTTCTGCGTCGGTCTTTGTTGAGTCGCACTAGCTAACCTTTTACCAGTCATCATGTTGACTTCTCTAAAAAAAAAACTGTCTCTACTCGTTCAATAAGTCTCGACATTTGCTCTCGTCCCAAGCTTTCCGTATGATATATTCTCCACATAAACAATGAGGGTGACAAAACACAACCCTGTCGTACCCCACGTTCCAAGTTAATAGGTTCAGAGGTCTTCGCATTTACTTTGACTAGTGTTATATTATCGTAATATAATTGTTCTAGAAGGAAAATCAAATGTCGAGGGAGTCCTCAGTTCTGACAGAGCATCCCAAAGTCTTCGCCAAATGACACAATCAAATACTTTCTTATTATTCAGGAAGCATTAGTATGCAGTTTTAGCATTTTATCTTGCTCCTCTATAATTAATCCGACATTCAAAATCTGGTTTCCTGGTGCCTTTTCCATACACAAAACCAGCCTGTTCTTGTGGTATTTGCCAGTCTAAGAAGTTTCTAAGTCTCTGCAACAGCATCATTCTGAGCATGACCCCACTTGGATGAGCAATCGATGCTATAGTTCTTCATTCAAAAAGAAATAACATTGCAAACATTTATTTCTTCCAAACTACAAAAGATACACATGATTTTAACGGTGGCTCGTTTCTTGACAAACACGAATCAGCTGGTGTTTGGTTATGGAATTTACTGCCTGATTAATTCGATGTCGTAGATCTTCAAGGGTATCAGGCATAGAGGGGATAAAAACACGCTCTATTACGTAACCCCAGAGACAAAGTTGAACTTCTGCTCCTGCTCTTCCAGGCCAACTTCCTGGAAATTCCGAACTTTTAACGTAGTAATAATACATTTTACTCTTTTCTTTATCCAATAACGTTAGAATCAAGTTTCTATCTTTGGTAGTTTAGAAAAAATAATTGTTTGCTATCTGCTCTTTCTTTTTTAAATAACCCTGCATATTATATTTCAAAAAGATTATTAAACATAAATGTTAATATTTATGGTCAAGGGCATTTAGCAGATACAGAAAACCAATAATGGCAGCTGATCTAATGGAACATCTAAGGGATTTGCTGATGTTAAACAAACTCTCTCACAATCGGAAAAACAAACGGCTAGGCAAGTCGTCGACACACGACCAGAAACTCAAGTGAGGCACGAAATCGAATATAATAAATATAGTAAACACTACCAGGACGACATAAAAAAGGCCAAAAGACTGCTAAATGATAAACATCATAGACCACAATATCAACGCAACCGCGCTATGGGAATGAGTAAAAATCAACTCTAATATAAAAAAAAATAAGTGTAAACAAATAAGCAATATTTCCCCTGTTGATTTCAACAACTACTTTATAAATGTCGCATATAATTTTCTTAAGATTACACCTCAAACTCTATTGAATATACAAGGCGTTTCTGCAACATATTACCTAAAGATGTTAATAATCCAAAGTTCGCTCTTGTCTCTCAAGTAGAAATTAGAAACATAATTAAGAATATTAAAAATAAAAAGAGTAAAGTAAATGCAAAATAAAATAAGGCATCGCAGTAACTATAGGGGGATAATATGAGCGAGCCTTACAGGAAAAAACCTTCAAAAGTCCCGCAACTACAACTAGAGCAATCTCAAAGCGGATTCAGCAATGGAAGAACCATAAACGCCCACATCTTCAGTATCAAGCAAATTATGGAAAAAGTACAAAACAAACTTCCAAAGTATGAAGGAGAGTTTGATAGAGCGTAGCGTGGTTTCGTCAGAACCCACAACATGCAATCAGCATACTTGCCAGTGAACGAGGGCGTTGGGCGGGAAGCGTTTTAAGTCCGCTACTATTTAATTTAGTCATGGATAATGCAATAAAAAAAAACAAGAACCGGTACATCCGCTTTCTTAGTAGATACGCGAGTGTACGTTTACGTGGGGTCGTATTGGCATGAAATGAAAGAGAACCTAAGAAGAACCTGGAAATCTGGAACAACAGGCTAAATGAAAAAAAACTTAAAATCTATAAAGAAAAAATAAAAATTAAGGTTACATCCAAAACAAATAAAATTCTGAACATCGAATGAAATAAATAACGAATAGAGCAAGTTGAAGTTTTTAAATATCTGGGAGTACAACTTAATAACAACAGATACCACCAAACAGAACTGTATGCGGGAATAGATAGAGCCTCAAGACTATTTCACTTTTTAATCAAGCTTCAAAAGAAAGAGGGAAATAGCAACTAAAACCAATATAACTATATACTAGACAATATTCACCTCAATTTTAACATTTGGATGTGAAAACTGGGTACTGACCCAAAAGGCAAAAAGTAAGATTCAAAGAATGGAGACGAAGTACCTACGAAATGTCTTAGGTATCAGAAGGAGAGACAGAATGCGAAATGTCGCGATCAGAGAGATTAAAAGTACAACCAGTTCTGAAACATATTGGGAAATGCCAACTATGCTGATATGGATACCAAAAAATAATGGAAAAGAGTCAAAGAAATAGAGGAAGACCAACGTGGGATCAGAACATATCGAATATACTAAGAGAAGAAGGACTGGGGATAATGGAAGCAGCTAAAATGGCACACTAATAAGCTCTTTACTATCTAACCGAGTTCAGAGAGTATTCTATGGTAATAAATATTCTGAACCGCTCTTTGTTCGACTGGAGGTACCACAGAGTAGCATTTTGGCTCCCTTGTTATATACTATTTATACTTTTGCAGTCAGATCTCATCTCAACTCATTTTCTGTTAGTAAAATTAAAGCCGAAATTTTGGTTAACGCAGACCTATATTTTATAAAACCGCCTCTGATCATCTGTTTCAGCTTAATCCAACTAAATCGTCAGTCTTCAGCAGTGACTTCCAGACATTTGAATTAAAAAATATGCTTATATAACTGAACGACACGCCTCTACTGTAGTCACCTACAGGCAAAAGTTTAGGTTTGATATTCGATTCTAAGTTGCGTTTCAGGGATCACCTCACAACAAAACTAAAAACAGCGTATGCAAATGTAAAACTAATTTACTATAATATATGTTGCATTTAATTAATTAAAATTAAGTTTCGGTCGGAGGTAAATATATTAAATCTAAGACAAAACTACAGATTCTGACTGCAGCGACACCAAAAAGAAATATTCAAAAGATCCTTTTCGTACGACATCGCACATATGGTAAACTCAATAAGATTCTTCGACACAACAGCACCAATGAACACATTGAAGCAAATGTACAAAATATCTCAAGGATCTCAATAATCAGATCCGCTATAATTCAGATGCGTTTTTACACCCTACTTCCGTCCATTCCCACCCTTTTCTTCTGTGACAGATACAAGCAATCCAATTTCCAGTTTATGCTGTGTGTATCCTAGAGAAGCATCCGCCACTGGAATCTATATTTCAAGAATTTTTGTCATATAGGTTATACCTATACAGGCTTGAACAGTATCTGGTTCATCCAAATGTCTGAAACTGTCATTTAAAAGAAAGTCTTTTGTTGGCCATGTTCTATATTCTTGAGACGACAATAAATGTATTATTATTATGTAGCAAAAATACATTGTAACGTATCCTATGGCTCCAACCAAACAGGACGTCACGCGGAAGGTCAATCAAGATGACGACCACTCATTGCGTACGCTCGGTCAGTGGTCATCGGCCAAACTGAGTTGTCTCAAGAGACGGAGGCACCAGATGACGACGGCCTTCTGCATGTTCAGCCGATGCGCGGCATGCCAGTATTAATACCAACAAGAATGTGTCTCTCATCCCCCCCAAACCGCCGACGATTAAGACCAGAAAATGAACTGTGCATTCGGCATATAACCTGCGAAACTTGCCAACAAGCTCTAAATATTTCGCTCGCTTTTCCCTTTCTTTGAATTCAATGTTGGTTTTTGTTGGAGCAAAGAAGTCTATGACAACCATCGAGTTACTTCGCTCATCCAACAGAACTATGTCCGGCTTATTAGCCTGGAGTCGGGTTAGCGGGGAAAGTATAATTCCAGTAGATGCGGCAGTTGTTTTCCACTACTGTTTCAATATCTTGGAACGTATGGGAGCACTGGTGTTTCATCTATACCGTAGGAATGCCTTAAGTGATAGCAAAGCACCCGAAGAGAAGCGTTATGCTGGTAGATGTAGCTCGAAACAGCGTGTACCGGGCAAGCTGATAGTAAATGCATAACCGCCTCGAGATGTTGACGGCAGGTCCTGCAGCTAATGCGAGGGAGTTAATTACTCGATCCTGGCAGGCAAGCAAAAATTCCTCACTTTCAGACTTAAGGCCAGCAGATCTTAGGAACCCGAAAGTGAGTCTCCTAAACAGGTCCAAAGTCTGGAGGTAAGTGTAGAACAATTACGGCTTACTAACGTGGTCTTATGGGGCTTTTGCAGTTCCGTCCTCTTAATTTGGGATTTTAGGACATCCGGATCAAGCTTAGTAAGTGCTGGTTATCTGCATCAAATGTGAAGGTGCTAAACGGTCTGCCGCTTGACCCGCTGCTTTAATGAGGAATGCTCCCACATTGCCAGCTTCATGATCCCTCACGAGTCTCAAAAGTGGGTCCAAGCTCAATAGTTTGGCGTCAATATACTCCAGACTTAGAAATCTCCTCCTCGTTGACCTCATGGAAGGTATATTCGAGAAACGGATGAGCGGGGATGAATGCTACCATTGAGATGTATCATCTTACACGTGATCACATCCAGATTTCGCAACTCTTCTCGTCTCCACTTCACCACCTCGAAGGAATAGAGAAGCACCGGTACCGCAAGCACATTCGCAGCGGTCACTTTATTGATACCGGAAAGTTCCGATTGCCATATCTTCTATAGACGCTACCTATACCTACTTCTTTAGAGTTGTTTTCACATTCACGATGTCTTGTGCTCGATGTTGGTCGACTCCGAGATACCTATATGGTTCCTTGTTTTCAAGGTATCGCTCCGTCAGACAGTTGCTCGTTTTCTGGATGGTTTCCGTAGCGCCCCTTCTGTAATGTCAATACGGCACACTTATCGAGGCCAAACTCCATAGCTATCTCTCTGGACTATTCTTGGACCACCTTTACAGACTGTCGTAGGTCTCTTTGACTAGGAGCGTAAAGCTTCAAGTCATCCATGTAAAAAGGGTGAGTGACTTTATGCGTTCTATTTCCCGGTGGTCCACAATGATAGCCACGAGTCTTGCGAAGGAACACTGAAATAGGGAGCAACGAGATGCGGAAGAGCAATGGGCTCACAGAATCGCCCCTCCTAAAAATTAGTGTACGAATGTTGCATCAGAGGGTTTTTGGTAGTCGATCGGTAAGTATTGAACCGAATATTGTGTAATACACCTATCTATCAGTAAATTCTCCTTGCAGCTTTCAGTTTTTTTTCTTCCGCCACGCTTTTCTCCAATGCCGTTCACGACCGGCTCAATCGCACTCAACAGTCGAGAATATAGAACCCCCGTGTAAAGATAACTGGTATTGAAGCAAATAATCGGTCGGTAATTCTGGGGGTCGCTCGAACTGCCCTTTTTCGGGGTTTAAGTTGTTTCGAAAATTGAAAATTCTTGCTAGATGTTGATGGGTGATGGAGAATTTCTTCCACCAAAAGTTGTTAATCCCATCTAAGTCAGGTGTAGAATGATTTCTGACACCTTCAGGGCTTTTCACTTCCTCCATCGAGACTCGTGTGCTGTTATACATGTTTTGACAATAGTTTCTGAAGTTGATCAGTGCGGGAGGGTCTATTTGTAATGGTGTCGCTACCTCATAGATTTTGCTCTAGAAATTCTCTACTTATGACACTGGTGGCGGTTCGTCTATATTAGGTGCAGGGTCTTGGAATAGGCTAGAGGGGTTTGTTCTGAAAATGTGGTTATCTCTGAAGCGCTGCTTATTATTATTATTATTATTACTAACTTGTGCGCTATTCGCTGCTCTCCAGCAGCGGATCCTTTAATTCCAATCTAGTGAACAAAATTGTGAGAGACTATTCCCACGCACTGTGTGCTCCTTTATGCAACATTTTTAACCTGATACTTGAAACGGGTGTTTATCCAGAACCTTGGAAAATTGTCAAAGTTTATCCTCTTCTCAAAAAAAGTGATCCTTCTGTAATTGAAAACTACCGACCTATTTCGATCTTGTGCAATTTTTCTAAAATATTTAAGATTATATTAAATAAATTTATTTTTGCTCAAATTAGAAATAAACTATCTACGCAACATGGTTTTTATGCGAAAAGATCATGTATCACCAACTTATACTCCCTGTCTTCGTATGTCTGTGACTCACTGAACAAGCAAGGTCAAGTTGACGTTATATATACTGATTTCCACAAAGCGTTTGACCAGATAGATCATCACTTACTGATCGAAAAAGCGTCTCAAAAATTTGGTTTCTCCGATTCGCTGATTACAGTGTTGAGGTCCCCTATCTGATGAATTGTTTGTTGAGATTGAGGGGTATGCATCAGTTCCTTTTATTCCAACTTCTGATGTGCCTCAAGGTTCCAATCTTCTGCTCAATATATTAACCATCTGCGACAAGCTTGCCTATGCGGATGACCTAAAACTATATGAATGCATTGAAACCGGCACGGACTGCATGACCCTCCAGGACAATATCAATATTGTCAGTCAGTGGTGTCCTAAAAATAAATTGCATCTTAACATCAGCAAGTGTAATGTGGTATCTTACCACCGCACAAAAACTAGCATAGTCTTTAATTACAATATGGATGGTACTATCCTGACTAGACTTGCCACTGTGACGGATCTGGGGATTTTACTTGACCAGACGTTCTCTTTTGTACCTCACATGACTAAAATGCAATGCCACGCAATGCAAATTTTAGGATTCGTAGCTCAGCTACTGTTAAATTGTTATTTAACTGTTACGTTAGGTCCAAGCTTGACTATGGCTCGCTGGTACGGTCACGAATCTATAACTGCAGAGTAGAGTAGGTTACCGAAGTATCTAATGTTCAGGTAGGACGGTTCCTATCCCGAGAGGGGAGCTGATCATGATCTTCTCCTGAGAAGGTTCGCTGTACTGTCTCTGAGCTTGCGCAGGGACTGGCAATCTGTTTCATTTCTCTGTAAGTTAGTTCATTATGGAGTGGATTGTCCGTTTCTTCCGGGACAATTACGCTTTCATATACCATGACTGGAAGGGAGACATCAATCAACTTTCTTACCGCAGTTACCCATTTCCAATATCCATTTTGAAAACCCTATTTACAATATGTGTGCTACCTTCAACAAACTATCATCGCACTGCGATTTATATCGGCAACTTCGATTGGTGTCGGGTTATCCGTACCGATAAGTCTTATACTCTTCTTTCTCCTTCTTTCCTTTTTTTTTAGTTATAAAATTAGTAGATTTAAGATTAGTTTTTACGTCCCCTGGTCCCCTGTTGGAAAGTGCTATTATTATTATATATTTTTGTACCTTGTAGGTAAAATAAAAAAGTTAACTACGCTTTAAAAAAAACGGAATTTAATGGACCATAGAGTTGGTTGAACCGCATAAAAGCCATTTAGCCATTAAGCCAAATCGTGTTATCTGTGAAAGCACTATACGGCCGGGTCCTTTAAAAACCTCGGACGCACCTTGGCGTGGCGTGTCGATTTACAAATCCGAATCGTTATGGGAAGCGGCGACGCGGGCGGGCCGTTTGGGGCCCCCTTTCTCATCGATCAAGCGACGTTAAAGTATCGGCAGCCGGGCCGCGCAGCACTTTCACGCGCCACCGCGATCGTCGCTTATTAATAATTATACCTGTACAAGGTAAAACTGATAATTTGTAATCGCGTTATCAGACGCGAAGCGCTCGCTGACGAACGCACTACGATCCGGTCCTGCGAACGGGCAGCGTCGACCTTTCGAGCGGGAAAATAAGAGGAAAAATGCTCGCAAAAAGGTTCGCGTTGGGTGCGTCGAGTGCGTCGCGTTGTTTGGCAAACGATTCGAATTAGTGGCGGTGCAGTTGAAAGCGAAACGAGATGAAGGAAAAGTGGAATAAGAACGGCGCGGAGCCTAGGCTCAGCGACGGTCAACCGGTAAGTTGGCACGTGCAAGCTCTACCGGAGCGTTTCGCCGGATGAATGAAAGTGAAGTAACGGTACTATGCAGTCGCGATAACATAGCGACGTGATACGTAGTCGCGTGAGCGTTGCGTTAAATAAAAAAAAAAAACGTGCTCATACTGGGTGGCTCGCGATAACAGCTCAAATTTCTTCTTCGGGTGCTATTCAAGGTCGCAGTGTGAAGACTTTGAAAGTCTTGTATGCCTGTCCGCTTTTTAACGTCCCAGGCTCAATTTTAGCACGTGTTCTCTTCATTATTTTCACAACAAAATTCTTAGATTTTCTCTCAAAGGACAATCATATGCTGATGACAAGCATGTTTTTGACCCCTCTGGGTTGCAGCTTGAGAGCCAAAATATCAAAAGTGACCTTGAACGAATTGACAGAATTTGCAGAGATCACGGTTTGCTTTTAAACCCAAAAAAATCTCCTGTAATGTTTTTTGGTCGGACGGTGGTCTTGCCTCTTGAAGTAATTATAAAAATAAATAATATTACTCTTCCAATTCAAAACGAGGCAAAAAATTTGGGGTTACTATTAAATACAAAACTTTGCTTTAAAAAGCATATCTCGACTTGGCCGTTTAAAAGGGTTGTATAGCTCAAGGCATATTCTAACTCGAAATCTTAAAAAAACCTTATGCGATGCTCTTGTTCTCTACGTGTTTAATTACTATGATGTCGTATATGGGCCTTGTTTGACAGCTAATTCGTCACAACGTATTAGAAAGATTCAAAAATGTTGCCTGAGGTTTATTTACGGCATCAGTCGCGGAAGACCTATGCCGAAGCGGGTTGGACGAATATGAAGACGCGGCGCTTGATCGCTGTTGTCTTTATTTCAACGCCTTTGAGTATCTATAACCTAGTTCAAGATCAAGGTGACATTTTTATTTGCAATAAATCAAGCACACTTTTCTTACAACAAAATAGATATTTTTGTAAGACTATTTCAACTATTTTAGTGTCTTCTCTAATTTATTCAATCTACTATATTTTTGTTATATGTCTGACTCTTCTTTATGATAGTGAAAATAAAAAAACAATTGAAAGTAGGATTTAGGAAAAAATGAGGAAAATGTTCTTTTTAACTGAAACACTCTGTATATTTGGACTCTAACGTTCGTAATTCACCAAACGGAACAAAAAGTCATACGCAATATAAGATTTAAAAAAAATGAAAACAAAAACATCGAGAAGTTACAGAACGCAGGAAAAATCAAACCACTGTGCGCTGCTAGAATTCTTTAAAAATTTGTGGTACTTACAGAACTTCAGCCTCGACTTTACCTAATAGTTTTTTTATTTACGTTTAGGTTTTTCTTTCTGTGTTATATAATTAAGTGGGTACTTAACGAAATTGTAAATATTAATTTATATATATATATATATATATATATATATATATATATATATATATATATATATATATATATATATATATATATATATATATATATATATATATATATATATATATATATATATATATATATATATATATATATATATATATATATATATATATATATATATATATATATATATATATATATATATATATATATATATATATATATATATATATATATATATATATATATATATATATATATATATATATATATATATATTCTCACGTATTGATTCACGGATGGAAAAATGTGATGACACTATATTCCGGGATATCATCTGTTCGCTCGTTGAACTCCGACTGGAATCCTGCATCCGACTGGAATCCTGCAAATCTTGCATCCGACTGGAATCCTGCAGACGTTTCGCCAAAATCTCACTTGGCATCTTCAATGCTCGCGCTCCGAGTGTTCGAAGTGTTTTCGGAGCGCGAGCATTGAAGATGCCAAGTGAGATTTTGGCGAAACGTCTGCAGGATTCCAGTCGGATGCAGGATTTGCAGGATTCCAGTCGGATGCAGGATTCCAGTCGGAGTTCAACGAGCGAACGGATGATATCCCGGAGTATAGTGTCATCACATTTTTCCATCCGTGAATCAATACGTGAGAATATATATATATATATATATATATATATATATATATATATATATATATATATATATATATATATATATAGAGAGAGAGAGAGGGGGAGAGAGAGAGAGAGATTCAATCAGTTAAGAGACATTCCTGAAAGGTTACTAAATGCAAGACTTCATATAATTAGAGTTTATGAGAAATGTGTTCAGGAAAATGGTGGTCACATACAGTGTGTCATTTTTGCTGATTTGTCAAAAACGAGTGGACTAAAATATAAAGTGAGTTACATCACTGCAATCGGAATAAGATATTCTATTAAACACATATATAACATACAGGGTGTTCCATTAAAAAAATATATTCTGTAGGCTTAAATGTCAGAAAATTGATAGTGTCATCTCCGCTAGCTCTAATCCCATGACAATAAAACAATATGATACTTAAGGGTTGAAGGTGTAATTTATCGAATAGTTTCTTTCAACAAGAATTGCATAGAGAATTTTTTTAAATTCAATCAGAAGGGGGTTGAAAAAACGTGACTTTCTAAATTTAAGACTTGGTTTTTTTAACCCGTGGTTTTCTGTATCTCTAACTGGTGCCGAATCATGTACCGGAATGCTAAAATGCTGCCAGTCCAATGCCGGATGTATCGCGACCATGATAGCTTCTTGTGTCCTGTCTCCCTCTTTCTTCGACTTTGCCTTGTAAAATTAAGCGCTCAGTACGTATCAGTACCCCAGATAAAAAATTTGTCTCTTTTTGAAAAATAACTCAAGCTCCTCAAGATTTCTTAACGATCCACGTTTCCACATTACATAAAAGAACTGACCACACATAACACGTTCACACGAAGCAATTCGAAATAATAAATCAGTGGATTCGATTTATTATTTGAAGAAATTGCAAATATTTGCAATTATTAACCTGATTGTGGTTTTCAACAGCAGAGAATTAATTTTTAAGTTAAACTTATTTTTGCACTTTTTAAAATCATAGCATAGTATAGCATACCACTATCGTACTAAAAAACAATCGGCATCGAACCTTTTGCGTCCCGTCTAGTTCTCGCATTCGCTTACCCTATCTCTAGGAAGGGTTTCGGAAATATTAATTTCGTTACGAGGCGACCTACATCTCCTTGGACTAGTTTTTTTAATTTGCAACACCAATTATTCGATGTTCGGTGGTAGAATGCCGCGTTTTTATTTTATTTAATAATATTATCCTTTCGTGTCCAAACGTTTCGGTTTTCTTACGCTTATCGCCGTAATAGTAGTTGAACTGTGCACTTTTACCTTGTAAGAATCTATTCAGAAACCTTTGGAGAAGTTTGATCATAAAATTGATTAAATCAGTTGGTTGGTTTTATTCAATCTTTCAACTTGGGAAATGGTCCTTCGAAGAAGAAATTGGAAATCAACTGTTTGTGTTAATTCATACAAACCTATTCTACGTTTTTTTGGTTCATTCGAAATTGTTTCGGTGGGACATCATTTCTACCAACGACCATAACTTTTGTTTATTTTAAAACCTGATTGCTCGAATTGTTTAACCGCGTTTAGGAGCGTCTGAAATGGTTCGCATTGTTAACCAGGATTACAGGCATCATCAGTGTGTCTTATATTATTAATGGGAGTGCCGTTTACTTTAATATCTAGTTCACTCGCCGGAATTGCTTCACCAAATGCCTTTTCCACACGCAGGTTCAAGAGCATGGGAGAAAGGCTCCAGCTCTGCAATCTAACTTCTTGGAAAAGCTTCCAGAAAACCGCTAACAGTGCAATATACTTAGAGACAAATAGTTAATTGTGTAACAATGACTCAACAACCAACTGTTATTCAAGGACATATTTAGATCCTCAAATCTGAAGGTTTCGGTCACTAAATTTGAGTACCTGATTCTTCACGCCTCCTGGTATGCGTGCATCTTATGCATATAGTAGTTGACGCTGCAGTGTCCGGTGTACATCCCTAAGAGACTTTTCAGATTTGATTTGATTTGACCTATTGGTGGCGTCTCTTTCCTCGCTAGGAGGTTGGCTTTTTGGCTACTTTCAAGTTCGCTTCGCCCTTGTATTTACGGCAGTGTTACCTCATGACGTCATTATTATGAGTTCTCCTCCGCACCATTTGTTTTTAATATTCAAAATTGCTGTGGTAGATACACTCTCCTTTGTTTTTATCTCGTTCTATGATAACCATGCTGTCTGATAATCTAAACAGAACTGCTTTCTCCAAGAGTCGTCCATTAGTAGTGTCCATCGAAAAGGGGATACAGCCGGCCTTGAAGACATCACGCATCGGCGGACCGCAATGGAGTGATTAATAAACGAGTGATTGAAGAAGTTTGTTAACATGTTTCATACTACAGCTAGTTGGGTACATTTGTACCAAACAGCACAAATACATTCACCTGTGACGTCAGAACTGACAAAGGTCAAACATGGTTAAAATCTACCGCTGATCGTATCATAAAAAAATTAATACCACTCTGCCTTCTATATAGAAAATAGCAGTATGAATTTTTTAAGATCATCATTCCAAACAAGAATTAGAAATACATACATATTTACCTACAAAATATACGCTTAACCATCAATATGTACGAAGAGTACCGGAATACTAAATTTACTAATACTAAGTTTACATAATCGTGCAATAAAATTTGTGAAATCAAACTTAATAAATATTATTTTAAAATTAGTATATATTTACATATTTATTTATATAATCATATTTATATTTACTTTATGTATTCTAGGTAACGCAAATACATACTGTTTAGTTTTCAATAGTCCGGACGTTAAACTTTGAATTCTAACAGGCACACCGTATATTTTTTTGTATTTTTGGATTGAGTTGGATTTTAATTTAATATTAAATTAATATTAATCTCGACGACTATAAACACAATAAATACATTTTCCTGATGACGAGCGATGGTGAGAACTATTCTAAATGGAACTTTTCCTTCCTTGTT